TTAGGCGGATACAGCGTTAGTCTATTAATTTATATACATTCTTGTAGTCTACTCTACTTTATTTTCAACTGAATAAATATACACAAACTCACTATTAATTTAATGTTTATAGTGCAACTAGTATCAACTATATAGAATACTCACATGAACAACTCATGATCATCGTTCTCATCATCATCGTGATCATCATCATTACCCGTGCTCCACAAAAACTTGAAAGGATTAAACATGACTCGTGATAAGCCATTCGATATGTCTTTCTTACAATAAAAAAAGTGTAGAAATAAAATAAATCTCAATGAAAAATTAAAATTACCTTTTTGAAATAAAAATAACTAAAAAAAAAGATTCTGTTTGGTGTATTGCGATTTAAGACAAAAATATCAAATTCAACGACATTAATCCTACAAGTGCGATTAGCTTATATGCGCTCGCATGTATCTTGTAATGCAATTTGCACTCCTGCTGAAGCATTCAAACCTTTCAAAAACTGTAGCAATTTTATTTATTTTTTTATATTTTTCATTATTATTATTATTACTTTTATTTTTTATATTTTTTTGTGCTACAATAAAAAGATCGGCAATGTCAAGCACAGTTTGTGGCAATCACATATGATTGACTGCATAAATCTGCAATGCAATTCTTCACTGCACTTTCTGGTATGCATTGAAGTCTAAAAAGGCAAATGTATTTATTTTCAACTGCAATAATACCACAGAAAATATCTTTTCTTGTCAAAAATATCTCTTTAATCCTTTTTTTATCCTACAGTATATTTTTGTTCTATTTAGAAAGTTTAATTAAGTATCTGAGTATAGGTACTCATATCTAAGAAACTAGATTTAACTAATTAAAATTTAAAAGCTATGAATTGATTTATTAGCCAACTCAGTCATTTATAAAAAAAAATGGTTTCTTTCTTATATTTGTCATAGAGAATTTAGTTGATATTTATGCTAAAGATTACAATTTCTGACAAAGAAAAGTTAATTAAGGAATTTTTTATTTAAGAAATTTACTGTTATTGGGGTTTTTATTAGATATAGTAGTGTGGCAATATTAAAACTAATAAAATTTAATAAGATAGACGAGTATATTTAATCATGAGTACTTCATAAGTGGAAGACAATTATTATTTAAGTAGTAATATTAATACAATATATTATTACCATATATAAGAAAAGGTCAGGAGAAATATCGGAGGTTAAAGATAAAAACGCAGCCATAAATAACAACAATGAGAATAGATAATCCTTAATAACAGTTTTAGTCGTTCAAACAAAGTGAACTTACATATATGTGAATATATTTATGTGTTAATCATATATATTAGACCTGACGCGACCTCAATAAAACCTCTCATTTTAATCCTTATTCCTGTCAACTACAATATAAAATTGACAAACGATCACTCTTTGCAACATGCAACAGAAATTTGATTGATATTTTTTTCAGAATATCGGGTTAAATATTTCTAGCTAGACCAACTGCAATATGGTACATGTATTCCAAATATAGACCCACTCACTTAATCTCTAAGAATCATCTTAATTATTATTAGAATCATCTTAATTATTATTAGAATTATCTTAATATCGTCCTAACGATACACTAGACTATAGGACTGTATGCCCTCAGACTAATCTGTCCTGTTGTCCTGAATGTGTTGTAAAACATGTTCATTTGAGTAGGTGGATCTCGTATGTATCTGTCCAAAGTTATCTAGCTTCAGGCTGAATAAGTCGGGCGCTCCATTCTTTCATTTATTCAGCGAAATTTTCAACATTACTTTTGACTAGTTACTTGCAATTATAAATGTGTGTGCCTGGTTCTAATATGTTCAACTTTCTATCCATAATTAAGAAGATTTCACCAAAGCGGCTATTTCAACTAATTGAAGGGGGTTCAATCCTCCTTCAGCTTCACTTGCACTTTACTCATGATTAAAATGTGAACACTTATGTGGAACACTGTGACCATGGCAGATCTTTCGTGGCATTGACCGATCCTTACCGAAATGAAGAGTCTCTATTCTTTAAATAAAATCTTAATATGTCCAAATTTCTTAATATCATACATAGACAGATTTTTTCCGTAACACATCGATCCCAACTGAATAGATTCTCAACTTTTTAAGTGAAAGTCAAAATGTTTCAATGTCATACAGTGTTAGATATTTTGCTTTACTCGAAGACCCTAACTGAACAGTAAATTTACAATATTTAGAATCAAAGTCAAATTGTAATAATATCATATAGTAAAAAATACTTCTACTCTTTAAATAAGATTTGAAATTACTTCATATCAGTTGGGATTAAAAGCTTTTGGATTTCGAATGCATTTTAAGTTGATTTCAAATTTAGAAAACTAAGTCCATTAGAATTAGAAGTTTTGGTTTTTCTAATCTTAAGATTTTCGACATTTTCAATTTCCATAAACATTATTAGCAGATCATATTGGTTAGTTCCACACTTATTGAGCTAATTTTTCTATCTTCTATAGTGTTTGATATATTAACTCTTACACAATGAGAACTGATTTTCAAGAAAATAAAATTACTTAATAAATATTCCACACTGAAGTGAGACAGTTTCTGCCTAAATACACACCGTTACCCATATATGTATAATCTCCATACTTTGGAAATTCTTCTGGTGGGTACCATAAATTTAGTTCAACACCAACCAACTACAACTGTGTGAAAATAAAATTTAATTTTCTTTGAATTATTTTTTCTGCAAGTTATTAACTGTAATCGAAAAAGCGGAAATCAGTAAATTAATTGCTAAAAAAACAAAAACAAAAGATACGAGTAGCCAAAGAAGCAGGAAGAAACTGAGAAAAGTTGATCAGAGTAAATAATTAAGTATACGCACTGTTACTCATCGATTGTATCTTCTCAGCATCTTAATGAGTAAGTTAATGAGTTAGTTGTTTTTTGCTTTTTCATGTTAAAGAAAAAAAAAGATATATATTAACAAATGCTTCATGCCCGTCTGTGCTACTTTAGACCAAGTTTAAAATGACAACTTCAGTGAAGTTTAATTGGAAGTTTCTACTCCTTTTTGCAGTTTGTGAGCTCATCAATTAAAAATGCTTAATAATTAATATAAGCAAAATGCAACATCAACAGCAGTTTCGCGACTGAACGATTTTTAGGTGCTTAATTAATGTTTTTCACATATGCATATCTAGTCTAAAGTATGTATCTAAAGCTAAGATCATATGCGTATAGGAGTCGATGCTAGTTACTTGTTGTAATGCATTTAATAATTTTTATGCGTAAATGCATTGATTATAAATATCTGTAAAATATGTCTTCATTGCCTGACGGAAGAGATTGGCTGACTTGAGAGTATTGCATTTTATTATTTTCAGTGCTAAAGTTTTTTATTTGATTTTATTATAGTTAAGCTTAAGATAAAAACTAAAGAAATCATTAGCTATGAAAGCCATAAGTTGAACCAGTTTGGATTTTCTATTTATTCTTTTAATTGCAATAACTTCTCTTTGAGATAAATGTGTAGGCAACTTCGCCTTTTTTGCTACAAATCAAAACTTGGGTTTAGTATTGCAGTTGTGTTGCATACAAGTGCTATAACTAGAGTACTTTATTTATTGATATATTTTTTCTTAATTTATTTTACTTAATACTTATCAATAAACATTTGATTAATTAATTAAGGGATATTAGGAAATAATTGATTGATAAATTATTATACGTAAATAATTAATAATAGTTAATAATATGTATTCATTTAAAATGTTGTTTAACGCAGTGTTATATATAATTAACTATTATTCTAATTAATAAAAATTATGTTAATTTATTTTCCTAATGCCTATATATAAAAACAAATCAAACATTGTTATAAGTGTAGTAAAAATGTAAAATAATAGTTGTTGAGTATATACAATATCATGATAGACATTGTATGATGAATATTAACATCATCATGACATTTTAATTGAGAAAATTAATTTCAAAAAATATTTGGGAAAAAATAATTCTATAAAAATAACAACAAATTAGGAATTTGTTACAGTTTTAGATTTAGCAATAAATCACGAAGAATGTATCAATACGATTTTCGTTACTAATATTTACAGTGCTCTGTAACACTTCATACCGCTTATGTCTGTCTGCTTTTACGTCTTCTCAACGTAGTCTTCTCTATACATATTTGTTTAGTGTTCTTTTAAGATTTTAATTTTTGGATTCTAATAGTTTTTTTTATTATTTTTTTTTAAATTTTTTATATTTTTTTTGATTATTGAATGAATTGGTTTTGGTGAATTTTTGTTAAGTCATCCTCTAAGCAAACCGCAGACATAAATCAAATGCCATATTGTCTTCTTGTTATGGCACTGAAAATATGCGCACATTTTTGTTTGTTTTCCTACACTGTTTTCTTATGGCCAATGGAGTCGGTCGGCCTAGGCACTAACCAAAAGTTTTGATGTTCGTTAGCCCATTGTCGAAGTCGAAGTGGAAAACTAAGTTTTTGTTTGGTCTCGAAGTTGACGCTGCGCTTTTGTTAAGTATTTGATTTGTTTGTTTTTTAATAGTGTACTTTATATACTATATAATTATTATATTTTTTTCCGATACGTCATTGCTTAGATCTTTTTGTATCTTTTTGTAAAAGAAAACGACAAAATCATGGCATAAACACAATGTATTGTGCGACAGTTTCAAGGCCAATTGCACTTGAATTTGTTAGTATTTTGTTTTTTTTTTGGAAATATAAATAAATTATTACATTACTTTTATGTAGCTTTTTAAGTAAGTATCTATAATTGAGTACATTCAATATAAATTAAGAGTGAAAAAAATTAAACAAAATTCTTTCGAGGACATTACTTTAACATAACATTAAAAATTAAGCAATATTTTATTTTACACATTTTTTTATTTTCAATAAATATTTATTTATTATAAATTGATTTTTATATTATATATTATAATTTTGTACATTTTTTATTTTTTTATTTAGGGTGCTGAACGTAAGACACGTGATGAAGAACGACGTGCAGCCAAACGAAAAATGACAGCCACTGGACGCAAGAAGTTAGATGAATTATATCATCCGGTCACAGATCGTTCAGAATTTTATACCATGCAAGATACCGCAAAACCACCTGTACTCTTTTCACCAGCCGATGATATGGAAAAGGTAAGAATTCAGTTGAATTCATCCTCATCCATGCACAAAGAACCATTCACAAATCCATTGTCTTCATCTATTAAATTACAAAATCAATCACAACCTCAACCATTACCATTAACACCATCATCTACATCATCATCATATGATATTAACCCAACAACACACAATCAAACACATATTCCATTACAACATGCACAACAATATAATGATGCAACGCTAATGGACTTATCTCAACAGAGTTTTTATGGCCATGAGACTGATTCGCTGTCGGGTACGCCAGATCTAAAAGGCGCTTCACCGTTTTTGCTGCATGGCCAAAAGGTTGCCACACCAACGCTCAAATTTCATAATCATTTTCCACCTGATGTGCAGACGTGAGTATTGTAAAAATCGTACAAATTATTAAAATTAAAATATAAAACTAAAAAAAATAATTAATAAAATCAGGATATGCGAATTTTAGTAATCAATAATTGTATATAAATTAATTTTATAAATAATTTCGCTTATCTTACATAAAAAAGTTTCTTTTCATAATAACTATTTTATTTTTTTTTTCTTCCTAATTTTAGTGATAAAAAGGATCACATTTTGGAACAAAGTTTGGTTGCCGGTGCCATGGGTGAATTTGGACCACCACTGAAAAGAGGTCGAATGACACCACCAACCAGCGAACGTGTTATGTTGTATGTTCGGCAAGAGAATGAAGATGTCTATACACCATTACATGTCGTTCCACCCACCACAATGGGTCTCTTAAATGCGGTAAGTACTTATATTAATATTATTTCTATTGAATTAAATTGCAGTTTTTTTTATACCCTCAGCATTTGTTCCCAATCCAAATCATTACAAAAACTCATTTATATAATAAAATGCATTTCTAATAATAATTATAATTAACTTTTAATGTTTTTGTTCATTTTGGTCCAAAAAAAAAAACAAAAAAATAATAGAAAATTGGTTTAAAACAAAAAAAAACAATTAAAAATTAAAAGTGCCAAACTCTGATAAGAAAATTTGCCAAACCAAAATGTTCAAATGGACGTTTCATTAATTATGTGATTTAAAATCGAATTAAAATATTTAAACACTAAGCTTAGCTTGCACATGCAACGTACATATTAAACGTGATTAATTTTCTTAATTAAAAAAATAATTAAGTAATTTTAAAATATATTAATAATAATAATTTCATAACAATTTTTTTTTATATAATATTAATAATAATAACAACACCAACACAACAAGTAAATGATCAAATTAAATCAATCAAAATGAAATTGAAAATAAATTAAAAAGATATAAACAGTGGCGGTTTCAAACTAAGAAAAACATAATTAAATACGTAAATTGTTATAATTTCAAGCTTGGCGAGTACTTTTTGATATGTATATAAAAGCAATACAATAAAGTTTTTTAAATTAGTAGAAAAATTGTGGAGTAGTACATTGCAAATAAATTACAGGTCCAAAATAATTGTTTCACAAGATAATACCTTAACATTTATATTCCATTTATCAAAAATATAAAAAATATGAGTCAACTTAAGCCTAAGCCATGATTAAACTTATTTCTCTTTGAGTATAGTAGTTGGCGATTTCTAGTTTCATTAACTCACTATACTATCCAGCGTATATAGCTTAACCCTACTCGTATGAAGTACTTAAGTAATGCGTTTGCTGAATTTCATTTTGTTATTTTTAACTACTGCACCCAACTACTGTTATTTAATCGTGCATTGGATTCTATTATTTCTATTATTTCTATAATTTGGTGACCACCATATACGGCAAGAGTACTATCTAAAATTATACCTGCTAAAAGACTTTAGTAAGCTAGATGAATTTCTGATACGATAGCGCCTGTTTTTTATGAAATTTTCTGAAGCCTTATAACTATATAAAAGATACTAAGTAATTTGAATCGGTCTTTAATTTTAATCCAAGTTATCCGTCTCTTTCTGTCCATCCCTATTTTCCTACACTTTCTCTTCTTACCTTTCTGTCCATATTTTTTTCTTTCTTTCTCACCCTCTCTCTCTCTCTTTCTGTTTCCGTCTATCTTTTTCTCAATTTTGTTGTTTCTCATCCCTCACTTCTTTTTTTTCCCTCTTTCATCTTTTTTATTCTTACTGTTTTCTCTTTCTCTCTCTACATCTTTCTACATCATCTTTTTGTCGTAGCCTTATTCGTCTATGAACACATCTTTTTTTGCTCCTTTTTCTCCCCAGGTTTTTTTACTCTTTCTGTTTCTTTCCTTTTTCATCTATTTTTTTTTCTTCTTATTCTTCTTATTCTTCTTCTTTCTCTCTCTCTCTCTCTCTCTCTCTCTCTCTCTCTCTCTCTCTCTCTCTTTCTCTATCTATATTTTTCTCTTTCTCTATCTTTTTCTCTATCTCTTTCTCATTCACGCTCTTTCTCTCTTACTCTTTCCCTTTCTCTCTGTCTGATGTACAGCAACATCTTTTATTGTTATAGTAAATTCCTTTTTTGTACATTTGCGGAACTGACATCACACTTTCTAAATGATTTGACTAATCCACAAGTTAACCCTTTCAGTGAAAGTTAGGCTTATTTTATAATTTTTAAAATACAAACATATTTATCAATTCAGTCGTAAGTGACTCATTCAAAATTACATTTTGTATATAGCTTTAGTGATCTATGCGAGCTCCCTTAATCGTAGGTTTGCTTGCCGTAATTATACTATTTAAGTGACTGTAATAACCTCTATTAGAAAATTGGTTTTTTTCAGTGTATTTACATTAAAACGCCACTGTTTATAATAAAAATTTAATCGCATTAAACATTAAAGAAACTATAAGAATAGCTGTGGGCAACATACTTACAATGTTAAAGTTAACAATCAGTTTTTGTTATAATTAAAAAAATTGAAAAAAAAAGATAAAAATACCAGCAACTCAACAAAACAATTAAAAACGTTTAAAATTAATCACTCGTTCTAATTACGGACGGAAAATAATGTTAAACGAGATTAACAATGGCTTATGGCGCTTTGATTAACTTTGTCTATGTCTTAAACTATATATATAACATCCATCATATGTAATGTATGTGCTTGTTTGCACTTTAAGAATGAGTAATGTGTATAGTAAAGTAGGCGTTACTGCCAAGGCACTGAATTTATGTACTTTTAAGTTCAAAGCATTTAACATTTTAAGCCTCTTCTCACGTTTCAAAACTCGAATCATGCTTTTCATACGTTTTTCATGCCAAATTTTTTCATAATAATTTAATGCTTTTTTTTCTTAATTTTTAATGTTGTAACATTGTTTCAACAACCTAACATCGTTTCATACACACATTTTATCAATCATTTAAACATTCAAAGATCTAACGATCGAGAGTTTTGTTAGGCGCTCAAATTTTAATAGTAAAAGGTTATGGAAAATGAGTTGATAAATTTATTAAGTTAGTGAATTGTTAATATTTTATCAGAAGATAATTATCACACCTGTAATATTTTTTTAGCAACACTTTCAAGTCGTGATATATAATTATCTGTAATAAATATATACATCTTGCAACTCATCCTTCAAGACAACGTCAATAATAAGCACACACATGGTTCTTAAGTCTTTTGTATCCATAAACGATACATTAAAGTTCTCTTTAAGGCGTTTTCATTCACAAGAGTATCGCAACTAATTTCAAGATGGATAGAATAGCCGGAGAGTGTGTCTAAAAAATCACATTCATCATGCCTGAAAGATCTAGAGGAACAGCTAGTATAATTAAAACAGCATTATCTGAAATTTTTCTGCATAAATGTATTGTGATATACGACACAATAAAGGATACGATATGGAAGTACGATATAGGAAGCATCAATGAACTTTAGTTATATGTACACATCCTGACGCTTCTTAAATAGAAAAAACTCTTATGTTCTTATTGAGACGCCAGTCTTATGGAGAGATTTACTCCTTTATTATAGTGATGGGAAAAAATTGCTTCACAATATTTTAGTAAATAAAATATGCTTGTAACGTTCTATAAAATCCTAATGAGTTGGAAAACCTTCCATTGAAGAGTATTTTAGGATTTATCAAGTGTTTGAAATAGTTTAGAGTTCTTCGAGATTTATATGGAAACATCATGAAATCAATCTCTAATATCATTACAATAGTTTAACCTAATCCATATATTTATATTTTAAATTGTTATTAATAAGACATAGAGATTACTTTCCATAAAATCTTAATGAGTTGCAAGACATCCCACTGAATAATGTTTTAAGGTTCATCAAATCTTCAAAATATTTTTGAGTCCTTCGTGATTTCTAAGGAAAGCAAATAAGCCAACATCATAATTCTCTAGGATCATTAAAATAGTTTAACCTAATACATAACTTTAAATTGTTTTTAATAAGACTTGCAGTTTACCTCCCTTAGAACCTTAATGAGTTGCAAGACCTCGCACTGAAGAATGTTTTAAGATTTCTCAAATCTTCAAAATAGTTTTGAATCCTTGCAGATTTATACACCAACCCAATGGACCAATGGATATGATGAAGTGAATTTCTAAGATCATCATAATAGTTCATCCTAACACATATATAAACCTTAAATTGTTAATAATAAGACCTGCAGCTTTAATGAAACTGTATATATTTTGATCTCCTACCACTTAAATAGTCCATAAAAGCCATTTGCATGTAAATTTAAAGCAACTCATGTATCCTCCAAATTCATAAATTTATTCATAACGTACACACACACTTTTACATTAGACACTATAATTTCAACACAATATCTCTAAAACGTTTAGAAATGAGTGAAATTTTTTTCAAAGAGACAATTTCTTAATATTGAAATCGGTATAAATTGGCATAAGACTAAAAAAAATGAACAAAGATATCATGAAATTAAATTCTTCTTGAAAAAATAAATGAGTTTTTGTAAATTTGGTACTATCTTAAATATAAATTAGACTATAGATCTATTAAATACTTTCTATCTACAAAATAAAACAAAACAAGACAAAACAAAAACTTAAACAAGTACAGCAAGAAAAAGACATCATATTTCTCTCATTTCTCAATTGCAGATTGAAAATAAATACAAAATCTCCACAACGAGTATAAATAACATTTATCGTACAAATAAAAAAGGGTAAGTAAAACCAATAAACCTTTTCAGATCATCTATATATACACATATATATATAATATATATGCATATATAGATGATTTACAAATTATACAAATTAAATTCTATTTAATTATAATTATTTTATTAAAACACAATTTATGCACACAATACAGAAATCTTTAATACAGTCAATTAAGAATTCAGCACAATTACCACTCTCACGCTCATATATCTCTCCCAGAACCCCGATCATTATCCGCTAAACCCAAAAACAAAAAAAAATTCATCATAAATTGCAAGTGCAAGAGACATTCCAAGATTTTGTACTGCACAGTGCCTGTTTGGTTTCCAGATAATTTAGTTTTTACTTAATTTTATTAATTCCTTAATGGTCCTTGAAGTATAGTTAAGAAAGTAGTTTTTGTTTGGTTAATGGAACTAATAATAGTTTAACAATTTTTTTTTTAACAACTTAATTAATTAATTAATATTATTAAAATTGAAAATAAAGTTATTACAATTATAAAAATATTTATATACCATATATGTTATATGTAATTAATTTTGTTAAAGGTCAATAAAGGTTATGGTCAATCGATCATAAAGCCGATGAGATTAATACAATTGTGTGTTATATGTACATATCAATTTTATAATACATTATTTGCGATCTCATAATATTATTTAAAGCACTGGCATTCTGAAGTAGCGTTGCAATATATATAAAAAAATACAAATTTTTCCGAAAAGAAAAGGTCTAAGCTATATTATTTGCGCTCCCAATGGCAGAAAATTATAAATCCATTTTCGTTCTAAAGTATCTATGTAAAAATTTCAAAGATATACTTAAACAGTCAGTCTGAGAATATTGATTTTTAATTGACCCAAGGTAAATATACTAACTGGATCAGCCAAAGTGCCCATAATATATAGTATAGTAAAAAGATTCTTTCTCGGTATAAAAGTAAAACATTTATACATTTTTACAATACAGTGATCATAAAGATATATCACGTATTCAATCAGTAAATAATTTTTATTTTAGTATGGCTTAAAGATATGCTAGTAATGGAAGCAAAATCATTAAGTTGAATAAATAACTTATACGGAATCAAACAAATTTCGACTTATATTCATATATTTTTGTCATTGTTTTGTTAATAGAATAGCCTCGGCTGAACCCACTGCTTTCACATAGCGCAACTACTAGCGAGTCACCCCAAAGCTGTCTTTCCGAGTTCTAGCATATTGCTTCGTGGTTTCGTTACGATGCGGATCTAATATTTTCTATGCTGGGGAATTGCTTGTAAAAATTATATAACGGTCACGGTAAATGTATCGACTAGAATCGATAGACTCTTGTATTTTCATGGATTATTGTTTTGAGTTATGGTAAATGCATCGACTAGAGTCCATAGACTCTATGGATTATGTCTATAATCCATAGACATTCGTCGTTGTTCAGTATTTTATACAAATTGTGATACTCCCTTAAGTCCCATCTGTGGTAATAATTAAATACAAGGATATGGAAGATGTGACATATTTAAAGTTCTATGAAATACTACTTCAACAAAGAGAATACTTTAGCAGTGAGTTTTCCCACACATAGATATTTCCTTTTCTCTTCATTGTAATGAAAGTAAGCTTTTCAGAAACTTTGTTCATAATTAAAAAATCTTCTTTTATGGATGCGATATACCGAATATCACAATGTTATCAGCAATATAGAGAACTTATGATGGCTTCGATTAGTTAAAGCAATTTAAGGTCTTCAGAACTAATGGATCTCTTTATTTAACACTCATATTTGTAAAATGAGTGTATTTAATTCCACAATATTTTTTAAGAAATACTAAATTCGAACTTTTCTTTTGCAAAATAATTCGGGAATAACTGAAATTTGGTTTCTAAAGTCTTTGAGTAGATGATACAAAGTTAGGTTCTGTTGTTTAAATTTCTCCATTACTGACCGTAGATATATTATTTGGAATAAAGGTAACTTTTATTTTTCACAAAACCAATTTCAAAATCGCGATCAAAGGTTATCAAAGTATCTTTAATTCTTACAAATCCTAGTCAAGTTAGTAAAGATAGTTATTTTTTTTGTTTTTACTTCTCAGCATTTGAGCTACTTTTAATTGTATACGTGTATAGACTTTTTATATAATTTTTATATAATATTTATTTTATTTACTATTTAGTCTTGTAATCTTTTCATTTACATATATATTTATTATATTCATTATTTAATTTTTATTTACAGGATTACTGCGAAAATTGATGATGATATGATTTCTTACTACTGCAACGAAGATATTTTCTTATTGGAAGTGCAGCAGATTGAAGATGAATTATATGATATTACATTAGCAGAGCTTCCCAACCATTGATAGGATGAATTGTTGTCTTAAACATAATCGCCAGCGTACTTAATCTAAATAATTTATATATATATGAGATACAATTTTAACAACTTATAGAGAAGTACAACAACAATGCACAACAAGTGGACACAAATGAAATTTTTATATATTTTTTATATAGTTTTATATGCGAATAGTTCAGAGAGATTCTTTAAGTTTAATTTAAAAAGAAACAGAAAAATAAAATTTTTTAAATTTAAGATTGATATATTTTTTTCAAAGCATATATATACAATTCAACAATAATAAAAATTATAATATATTATATGTGTTAATTTTTGCTATTAAATTGAATATTTTTAAAATGACATGTTTGATTGAATATAATATAAATTTAGTTATTTAATTTTAGTGCTCAATATTTGTAAATGTGAATATTAATAAGTTAAAATAATGAATAATATTAGAATTAAATAAACATTATGTAATCCAAAATAAAAATGCAAATTTTTTTTAAACATGCAAGATTGCTATCTTAAATATGCACTACAACAAATATTTATAAAATCTAATAATTTAGTTGAAAAGAAATTTTAATAATAATAATATTATTTGAAAATAAATTCCCAAAATACTCACAAAAAAATTATTATTCTTTTAATCAATCCAAGTGAGATTTCTTAGATTCTATGATTTCATTTTATTTTTATATATTTTATGTATTTAAAATAATTTTTTTAATATCTTTTTTAAATGAAATACATATTTTTTGTCATATAGAATAATAATTTATTTTGTAATGTAGTATAATTAAAATTAAAATAAAGTACGTACTAAAATAATACTCTTCCCCCAGTAAAATAATCGTATTTTTTTTTCTTATACATTTATAAACTTTTTTTAATAACGTTGAAATAATTCAGCGTCATTCTATTATTAAAATATTTAATATTTTTTAATAATAATATTTTATTGAATTTTTATTTCATTATTTCAAAATAAAAAAAAATTAATTAATTTTTTGCTCTTTCGAACAAAATATATAAACAAAAATATTTATAATTAAGATCTCAAAAAAATATTTCAATTGTTTAAAAATATTAAATAAATGATATAGAAAACACTTTTATTAAAAATAAAAAAAGAATAAGTAAATACTTTACAACAAAAATATAAAACGAAAACAAATTAAATGTTTTAAAAGAAATATTTTTAAAATAATATTAACATAAAGTAATTAAGAAAACTCTTTTTAAAACTTATTTTGCTTTACAAAGTTTAACTTAAAATTATTTGAAATGCAATATTTTTTAATAGTTTAGATTATAAAATAAAATTAAAATATAAAAAAATACAAACATATAAATAAAAAATAAATAGATGTGCATTTGTTGTTTAACACAAAACAAAATAAGTAAATAAAAAAATTAAAACTAAACTAAAAAATATTTTAAAATAATTATCAACTTTTAATGTTGTTAAAAAATTGCTGAAAAAAAATTGTGATCCATAAAAGAAAAAAAATTATGAAGCATTAAATATTAAATTACTTTGCTTTACATATATGTTGTATTCCAAACATTCCAAATTCTTTTGTATATACAAGTAAACATATAATGAGTTATATGAAAAATATTAAAAAATGAACAAAAATAGAATATCGCAAAATTTTATAAACTATTAAATACATTAATTGATTTTCACTAATACTATATAATGCATTTTACAAAAAATGCTAAATAAATATTACAGAAAAAAGTTTTTAAAAAATTAATTCTTTTAATATCTGCAATTATGAAAAAAATATATATTGAATACATATTTAATATTAAATAAAATAAATTAATTTCAAGTTAATTTTATAATAATTTTAATTCAATTAAAAATTCTTGCCGTTTTTGAGAACAAATACTTTATTGATATTTTTAATTAATTATCCTTAACGTTAAAACTATATTAAAACATATATATAAAATAATTTTAATTTTTTATCCATAAATAATTTATTTTTATATATATAAAACACTTATTATACATTCGTAATGTACCACAAATTATGAATTATAAGTAAGAAAATAAAATTGACAGATGCAATGATTCAAAACTTTTTCTTGGTCATTGTTGAGAAAATCAAAAGTTTAAAATTTATTTAAATACTTGAAATAAAAATTTATTTTAAAATATTAAAAATATTAATATTAAAATATTATTTAAAATTGTATAAAGAAAATTTTATTGAAAAAGAAATTGTTAATTATAATTTTATCATTTAAGTTACGTTACACGTATATACATATATAAATATATACATATATATATATATGCATATATATAATTATTATAAAGTTTTCTTTTTTATTTTTTTATTAAATATTAATAAATCAATAAAGTAGAATAAATGATTTTATTTCAATCAAAAAAAAATTTTTTTTTATTTACCAAAAATAACCACATATATATAATATGTGCCCAAACATAAGAAACTCAAACAAAAACTATGTTGATTAGCGTTTTAACCACAGCATCCACGATATTCCTATTATAGGAGCCAACCTCAATTAGTCAGGACAGTCGAAACTGTGGCCCATGAAACTTGTGATACCAAATCAACACTTTCGGTCGGGTGCCGCGAGTGAATTATTTAACTTACTTAATAGCATTTATTCTTCAAACATTATAGGATATAGCACAAACTAAACCATTCAGTGTTTACAGAAAGACATCAAAAATCGGAAAATCTTATATTATACAAAGGATATAATGCAAAGGATATATTAAATCGCATACGAAATTTTCTCATAGTTTTCTATAAATATTCCAAAATAGTATTTGAAATCTTTAAATACTTCTGGAAAATTATATACTCATTGGTTTTTAGATTAGATTAGATTCAGACATGATTCGAGGACAGATAGGACTTTTGAACATAGGGTTCTTTTTAGACCACAAAAGATTGCATTAGCTGCTTGGTTTTCATCCTCTATGGTCGCTTCATTGCGGTCAGGAACACCGCAATGTATTTAAATCATTTAACACCTTTTCACCATCTGTTTTAGTAATAATTGCAATATTCACTTTATTCATAATTGCAATATTTATTTTTAATTAAATATTAAAATATTAAAAATATTTTATTTATAAACTGCATAAAAAAATAATAATAAATAAATAAACTACCAAAATTAATTAGAATAAAATTACATTTTAAATGATTAATACAAACTGATACGAATTCAAAATGCAATGCATTACTATGCTTCTTCTTGAATGTATGGCAGGAGTAAAATGAAATTGGAACAAAATTTCAATTTAGTTCCATTTGGAAGGGTAAAAAAGGTTAAACATAAACAGCGATCTGATTTTGATGAAAAAAACTAATAAAGTGGAATGCGTGATTGAATTTAACCGCAGCTGCCCGAAGTCAGTAAAACGAAGTTCGTGAAAACGATTGGTTATCGATTGGCACGATTGCTAAAGGAAAAATAATTTATTTACAAAATTAATGTAAATAAATGGATTTATATTCTAATCTAAATGCATAAATAAGAAGTAACATTAAAATAAAAACTTTTAACAGTGATATAAATTAGATATATTAAGTTTTAAATAAATTACAAAAAAAACTTAAAAAACGTGGTACTTTCAAAGTTAAAAATGTGGAAGCCATTTCAAAATGTGGAATGTAAATTTAAGTGATTAAAAAAATTTTTACTTTATTTCTAGTAACGGTTTTTGAAAATATTATTTTATTTTATAAAACGAATTTAATTAGAAATATTTAACTAAATATAAGTAATATGTGCATTTCTATATTTTTGCTAAAGTGTTTTTGTGTTAAAAAACTAAAAAGGACTAAATAAAAAATTGACTAAAATAATTGTGTCCAACAGCCTCCACATATATTAAAGCAACATGTTGGAGGCTTTGAGGTTTATTTATGCTGCAATACAGGGTAAGTCAATAATAATTTTTTTAACATATAATAAATATTTATTGGTTTTTTAAATCAAATTTATTTTTGTAAATATTTTTAAACAATATTTTGTATTTAAAATTAATTGTATATTTTTTTAATACATATTAATACACATATTAATATAATATTATTAATTTCTATGAACATTGTGTATAAGAACAGTTTAAATATTTTAATATATTAATTCAAATTAATAACTACAGCTTCACCTGTTGGCTGAAAGTACTGAACATACCAATTGGTTAATATTGTTGTTGTTAATAAGTGTGAATAATTAATAATCTCTTAGAAATCCATATTCAGGATTGTGTTTTGCGTACAAATTTGAAGAAAATTGAGTTTAAAAACACTCTCTTAAATTTTTACAATTTGTTAATCGAAAATTGGGTGTATACTTGTATAAATTTTCTCTTTGAAAATGTTATTTTTCTTTCCATTACATTTTGCATTAGACTTTTAGTAATTAAAGAAAAGTAGGTATGTTTGAAATCTTATTAGTAGTATTTATCATCAATTTGAATATATTTATCTTATATGTATAATATATATATATTGAAATATGACTTCAATATATCTAGTATGGTATACATATCTTCCTATAATGTACGAGGTCAACATTCAAACTTTTTTAGTGGTTGTATGGATAAAACGAAACGAATATTTATATCTAAAATATAGATGTTTTCAATTATCTATAATGATGCTCTTTTTATAGAATGTATAACATCCAGTATGTACAAATTTGTTTTCTTTGAAGTTCTTTATTAGTAATACTCGTATATTGGAAAGTTCTTTTGCAAGGATCAAAATCACTTTTGAAGTGATTTGGTCATAATCTCTTAACTTCATATGTTTATATATGAACTCTGGCTTTCCTGTTGCTGACATTAATTTTCCATAGCTTCTATTTATGCTTGCGACAAATGTCAATCCAAGTAGCGGCCGTCAAAATTGATTGCAAAAAAAAAAAACAAACAAAATAGAAACTAAATAGAAATCGTGAATTCAATAAGTCAGCTCAGCTGCCCGCAAAGTAAGTGTTTTTATTACATTGTAACGTTAATAAGCATTTAGAGTTAAAGTGAATGACATTAGGCATCATTAAAACACGAAATGTTGTTGTTAACGACTTTGACAGTGATTTGCCCTGATTTTAAAACCAACCAACAAAGCTCAGAGCCAGATCATAGTCAGTGCCAGATCAGCGGCTAACAAGTTTCCATTGACGTCCGTCGCAATCCAAATAAGCC